GAAACGGCAAAAAATGAACTTCATTCAAAGATTTCAAGGTCCGCATTCAGTGCCCGCGCCGTCGTTTTGGACTTCGCCCACTTACACGATTTGCGCACCTGGAAAGCTTTAAGAAAAGCTCGTTTTGCCGTTTTGCCCGCAGAACAGCTCGTATATGGGTTCCTCATTTCGAGAAGGCAAAAGTCCAACAATGGGAAAACGAAATTTACCCGGGATACTGCCTCTGAGCTGTAAAATCTGTGAAATGATAGAGTGTCTAGATGTTTTGCTAACCTATTCAGTTTGATTGGTAGTAAGTAAAATTTGATGCTTAAGCTCACGAGCGGAAGATACTACCACCAATATCTGCATAGCATCATGACACTCTAGGAATTGGCCACAGACATAATTGAAAAATTTAATGCGGCATGGAGTACTTCAAAACTAATTCTGTTGTCGATTGCGTTATGACTCAGTCTTCATAAACTTATGTCTTTTTTTCAGTTTGAAAAATACCATCGCGGTGGTTTCGAGGCGAAGATGTCGAGAAGAGAAGCTGCCATGATCCTAGGAGTTCCAGCTACCGCTAAGCCAAATCGAATAAAAGAAGCCCACAAGCGCATCATGATTGCCAATCACCCTGATCGAGGTAAAGTTTACCTTCATTAAATGCAGGGCAATTAACTTTGCTGATGTTGATCTTTCTCAAAATTATGTGAAAAAGAGACACTGTTTGAGGGATTTTGTTACCGTCATTTCATTGCCATATTCAGACTTTCTTGCTGCCATATTTTTTGTTCAATCAATAAACTCTGGCCATTCTCATGAAGGTGTACTTGGGTTTTTAGGTGGCTCTCCATACTTGGCTGCAAAGATTAACGAAGCCAAGGATTTGCTGGAGTCAACGAAAAGTTAACGACGTCCATATTCCCATGAATTTGCTCAAACAAAGATATTTGTAGCTGATTTACTTTGATTGTCGTCCTATCTGCACCGAGTCACTCCCGTCCCATGCATTGATGTTTATCCCTAAGCTGTTCTCAAGCCTACAGGTACTTACATAGTCTAGCTCGTTTAGTGGATGTTAGAAATAGCCATCTGTTTTCTATCAGAGGAAATAAAATACATTACATGCGTATTGTTTACACATTGTGTTTACGTTATCTGTGTATGAGCATGTGGGTTGATTTTCTCGACTTCCCCATATGGAACATGAGCAATGATGAGCATCCTGATCAGCTAACTTCATAGTGCAAGTGCGAGAGCAGGAGTCAAGAGTTTTGTTTCTGATTCGTGGAATATTTCTAAACATACATCAGGTTGAAATATTTTTCACTCTTACAATTACATGGTGCGCCAAAATTACTTATGCGTCCAAAAGATAGAAAGCGAGTTTGATGACGGAGCAAGCATGCATCTGTTTTCTCCAACCATTAGAATTATCGCTATGCTTAGTCCTCCGAAAAAATTTCAAATCCTCTCGACAGTCGCAGTGTGCTCTGTACGCAGGTACAACTTTGAGAATTCACACGGTATTATTTTAAGAACCTTTCCTTTTGTTTCGAAAAGTAGAGCAAGCCTTCGCCTTTAACGCTTTTAATGAGGAAATTTGGAAATTGATTCAAGGATGGG